AAGTGATAGATGATTTCCATAAGTGATAGATGGTGCTGTGAAGTTTAGAGAGGATATTTACCATAACCGCACAGCGACTTGGAAAGATGCTGTAAGAATGTCTGTGCGAAAAGGGATGAGAAGTTTCGGCTAGGAGTGGACTTTGGTATCCAACAGTCCTGAGGTCCTCCTTCTCTGTAAAATGGTGTAGTAGCACTACAGTCTTGGAGAGCAGTTGTGAAGCATTAGGTGCTCACTACAGACCTTGTCTACAGCAAAAGGATCCAATGAATGGTGGCTAAGATAGACGTAAACTGGGAATGTATTTATAACACATAGGACAAAGGCCTAATACTAATAATATATAAAGAATACTTATAAATCAATAAAGACCAATAACCCAAACATAAAAAGATATGGATAGACAGTAAAGAAATGTAAACATCTTTTCAGATGTTCTTAGACATCTGAAAAGAGTCTCAATCTCAACTTATTTAAAAAAGCACAAAACAAAATTATATGTTTCTACCTATAAAATTAGTCACCAGCATATGAGGAACAACGTTCCCTCATCCAGCTCCATGAATTTAGAAGTCAATTTGTATCCAACTTTAAAGTGCACAGTCTCTTTGACTTAGTAGGCTCTATTTCCAAGGACTTACACTGCAGACATAGTGGCACATGTATAAAGTGATGCATATCCAAGCATCTGCACTGCTGCACTGCTTACAATAATAAAAGCCACAAGTAACCTACACTAATAGGAAACTAACATATTCATAAAATGGAATAAATATTAAGCAACCTTGAACAGAGTAGGACTAACAAGTATTCTATAATATTATATAGCGTACACTAACTGTTGTTAATAAGGATGAACATAATCTTACATATACAAATTTTTCTCTGTACATGTATATGTATGCATGAATGCATACTTGTGTGTCCATTGATTATTTCTGAAAACTAGGGAACTGATAACATCTCTGGAATGAGAAGGAGGCACTGGATATCAGGGGTAGCTATGCTTAGCTCCTGAAAAAAGAATGAAGTATTTAATGATATAAATAAAAACACAGATAGGAAGGCAAGAACTAAAAGGAAATAAGGTACCCCTGATGAGCAAGTAGGCACCTGGATGAGATTAAATCAATGTCAAGGATATCATTCATACCCAATTTGGAAGAATCACATTAGAATATTAACTGTGGTAGGGGCTGGGGTTTAGCTCAGCGGCACGGCACCTGCCTGGCAAGCACGAGGTTGTGAGTTTGATTCTCGGTACCAGAAAAAAAAAGCAAAAAAAAAAAAAAAAGAGTATTAACTGTGGTTTGCCCTGCAGGATAGGAGTGAGGAAACTCAGTGTTGAGGGAAGCTGAGACAGTGAAATGGGCCTATAATTTGTATTTTATAGAGGCTTTCCCTAGTGGGCACATATTGCTGTTATAATTAAAAAAGCAATACTTGAAAATAATCATGTATAGATCAACAAACTTGAGATGTAAATACAGACTTTTTTAAAGGCCAGGGGCATCTACTTTTTAGGTTTAGAAAAAGAATTTTTTTTGGTGGGGGAACTATGCATTAAACCCAGGGCCCCACACATGCTCGCCCCCTGAGCTACATCTCCACCACATAGTGAAGTCTTTGTGTCTCCATTCTGTATCACATGGATCGGTGAGGCTTTCACTCAGCCAAGGCGAGCAGATGCGCATCAAAGCCTGGCCTTCTCTTCCGAAGTGTGTATCATTCATGTAAGAACAGACTCTCACTTTTCACAGCTGTAAGACAATATAAGCGTCCTTTTCCATGGAAGCTAAGCAATCAGCTCTCTGCTATACACAGACATTCCTCTTTCATAAGCTCTCCATTCCCAGAAAAGTTGTAAAACAGTCTGAGTAACTTGGTTTCTCGGGGTCGGGTGTCAAATGTCATAGAATCTCATGAGCTATGTCACAGGCGAAATGCATCACAGGAAAATCCCAGTGATGAGTTTCTCAAGGTCTGATCAGCCAAGAAAGAACCAATCTGGAGGCTGATTTTATCAATTACTCTAAATAATATTTTTCTTTGCTTCCTTCAGTTTCAATGCATGGGTAAGTCAACCTAGTAATCTCATCACCCACCCGGAAGACACGCACACAGTGGGGTTTACTGAATTGGAGTCAATGTTTTGTTTTAATAAAATATTTTAAAAGCTTTCAGCAAAGTTTCAAAAATAGTGTTTCAGGCTTGCTCAATCTAGCCTTCTGCAAGGAAAAATGCTATCTATGCCTCTGCTGCGCTCAGTGAATGCTAGGGTTTGAGACAGATGGTAACTCTGCACTTAGGACGTCCCAAATCCAGAACTCAAGCTCATTCTGCTTGGGGATTCCTGCCTTGCTGCCCCCTAGTTCCTATCTTGGGACAGGCCCTTTGAGTCTGAGGTCAGCAGGGGACTCAGATTGGCACTGATTGGCAAATGCAAGGTCCTGAGTTTGATTCCCAGTACCAAAAAAAGAAAGAAAGAAATGTTGCCGGGGACATAGCTCAGTGGCATAGGCACCTGCCTGGCAGAACGGCGCTGAGTCCAGGAAACAAATCGAGCCTCTCCAACAGATTCACCTACCAAGCTCCTCCTTCGTCAAAGGAAAATGGTGTTAAACAGCAGACCCTCGCTCACCAAAGACAACATCACAGCTCGGGAGAAGAAAGAGTCATGAGAGGCGCTTCCTAAGCAAAACACTAGTGTGTTCTGAGAACACTTAACAAAAGGACCTACCTTTCCCAATAGGGAAAACGGTTCATCTGATGGGATCACCTGCCTACAGACTGCAAGGAAACTCTACAGGGCTCTACTAGGGTTACAACTGCGTCTACTGCTCCATCAGCACGGCTTCGCCACCCACTCTGAGCTCAGGCACAGCCTTTCCTCAAGTTTCTTCAAAAGCACAGAGCACATGTGAAGCCAGACTGCAGCCAGCAGACCTCTGACAGTCTCTGGCAGGACCAGAGAACTCCAGGAAAGTCCAGATGGCCATCTGAGAAGGCTGCTCTGCAGGGACTAAGTGGGGATTCTCGATCAGGACTGGCACTGGGGGCATCAGCCCGAGGGACAAGGCATGCTGGGTAAAAACAGACAGTGAAGGCTCAGGCCAGCCCTTCCCAAATTTTCTGACTGATGCCACTGTCTGCGTGGATTCTCAGGCTGGTACCCAGAGTGCACTGGGAGTTCAAACCTCAAACTATGAGCCCTTGACCTTGAGACCCTGACTCTGGTTTTAATTCCAACCTTGCCTCAGTCCTGGGCTTTAGTAAAAGAGGAGGAGGGGCACCTGGGATCTCGCCTCTCTCAACCACAGCCCTGCTCTCTGGAGCACGCCTTGGCTGGCTCTGCAGACCACACTCTGGGAAGTTCATGCAGCAACTCGGGGAACAGCTGAGGGCTAGCTGCTTGTTTCTGTCCACTGCTTTTGTGGCCCTGAATGCCAGGAAGGAATCTCTGCAGGAGAAGGAAGGCATGGAATTTCACTGTCGCTCCAGAGGGCAGCATGGTAAGCAGAGGCCAGGGACATGGAGTTGCAGAGGCATTCAGCTTTGTGCAGAGAAAAAGCCCCTTTCCTTCACCTGATGCCAGCCAAACCTGACCTCGACCTTTTCTCATTTATGAGCCATCTCTCTGCCTGGCCTTGGAATCCCAGGAGCGGAGCACTGTGAGAGCCAATAAATCACACTGACTCTGGAAACCGGATAAAGTCTGAGAACCAGCAAGAAGGAAAGGGGTCAAAGCTTGCCTCTGTCTCATCCTGTTTACTTGGAATGGCCCCTTTGATCTGTGGCCGCCTGCTGCTGACCATTTTGATGCCCTGGACTTAGACCCTTACTATCTTCTCTGTGTATACGTGTGGCAAGGTGACCCACTGGGAAGGACACAAGTCTAGAGAAAAGAAGTTCAAAGTCTTTGAACCTTCTGGCATCACAAACTATGTGATACTTGTGGAATGGATTTTCTGCTCTGAGACTCAGATTCCTCATCTGTTAAATGGGCACAATTAATACAGTCATGGCTTGGATCATGTACTCCAAAATTCACGTCCACCTGGAAGCTCAGAATGTGACCTTGTTTGGAAAGAGGGTCTTTGCAGGTATAATGTATGAAGATGTGGTCCTACTCTGAGGACCAGTGTCTTTATCAGACATACACAAAGGAGAATTCCGCCTGACAATCAAGGCAGAAACTGGAGTGAGTCACTTTACAAGCCAAGGAGCTCCAAAGATCATTAGTAACCAACAGAAAAGCTAGGAGAAAAGCAGGAAACAGATTTTCCCTCATTTGCCAGGAGGAACCAACACTGCCACCCTTCACTTCAGGCTTCTGACCTTCTGAACTGTGAAAGAATAAATTGCTATTGTTTTAAGCCATTCAGCTTGCAATGCTTTATTACAGCAGCCATAGGAAATGAGCACACCTCTCTGATAAGCCTGTCAGGAGGTTTGCCTAACAGGCGGCGTGCAAAGGCAGCTTGACCCCACGACCAGGACAAGCTGGGCCCTCACCCAGAGGTAGTTCACACTTGCTCTCTCTGCGGGTGGCCAGTCAACAGTAGGGTTTCTCAAGCATTGTCAGAAGTGGGTTGCCTTGTGGTATTTGTGCTTTTTAAAATGTGTAGATCACAAAGGAAGTGTGAAGGCATCCCTGTGGAAGAGACCTGTCATATGCCAAAGCCCGTTCACACAGTGGTCCTGGAGCTGGTGATGGGTATGAATCTGGTCCAGCTGGAGAAGGAACACAAGAGACCAGAGCCTTCAGAGGTGTTGGCTAAGGCTGATGATGGTCAAGAGCTTTGCTAATCATTTAGGATAGGCCAGGCTTTAGATCAGGTGATCGCTAAACCCAATCACATTTACTCTGCAAAGAAGTCTATGAGGCCAGCATTCTTGTGTGTCCATTTTACAGTTCACAGGTGAGGTTCGGAGAGTTTTACTCACCCAAAGTCATCAGCAGTAGGTGATGAAGCTGGAACAGAGGCAACCTGGCTCCAGGTCTTTAGCCACTAACTTGCCTCTTGCAGATGCAAAAGCAGGCACTGAACTAGAGGAGATTAGCCATTCCATCCCTTCCCTACTGTACCACATACGGTCAGCCCTCTACCGCTGAGGGCTCTGCATGCACAAATTCAATCAACCAGGGGTGGAAAATATTGGGGAAAATCGTGCCTGTATGATACAGTAGAATAATTAATTATATAGCATTGACATTGTCTAGGTATTATAAGTAATCCAGAGATGATTTAAAATATGCAAATGTTACGCCATTTTATATAAGGGACATGACTATTTTATTTAAAGGGCTTGATTTTGGTATCGAAGGGAGGGCTTAGAATCAGTCTCTTGTGGATATGGAGGGACAACTGTAATCTAACTGGGTCCCAGAACTCTCCCCATATGCTTTGTGGCTTAGCTAGTATGCCGGTTTCTTTACAGAAAACACACATGATACAGATGACAACAGTGAGTTATTAACTGAACAGCCACCATGCATAGGCATTTTACTACACACATTATCTCAGGAAATCCTCACAGCAACTCTGTGATGCAGTGAAAAGCCCTAGTGTGCAGATGAAGACCCTGCAGCACAGAGCTTAATTTGCTCAAAGACACAAAGCAAGTGTCAGAGTTGAGAGCTAAGCCTGCCCAGCTCTCCACAGCCAACTATAAAGAAGCACATGCCTTCCCTTCCTACAACACAGCCAGGGCTCACTGGCTCAGAAAATGCACTTGGCCCGCTTAGTTGCATCTCAACAAAGACAAAAAGCTGCGCTGCCTTTCCCCCTACTTCAGATGCCTGGCGTTCTTGGTCTCCTCTGACACGCCAGGTGAGTGACTTTTGTTCCGTGGAGTGGTTGGAATTCTCCAGATAGGGTCTGGCCCCTCCCGAGAATGTCTGTTTGTCTTGCATACAGGTTTCAGCACAACAGGGATTCCAGAGCGGCCAGAACATTCTGGACATGGATGCCTCCCAAACAAGCGGAGCAGAAGGTGGGGATCTAAGAAGAGGACATAACCAAGGCGAGGTAGAGGGTGGGTTTCAATGTCTCAGGAAGGCAACTAGCAGACATCTCAAGCTGTGACACGCTAGCTGACCACTGGGACCGATAGGTTACTTGGTGCCAAAATGTCACTTTGATATACAGACTTCTCAATGGTTCGATTGAGGACTTTTCAACGTTTCAAAGTGATATGTACTCAACAGAAAGCCTATCTCACTTTTGAATTCCCCTCCCTACCAGTCCCTAGTAATTACCCTTTTATTCTTCTGTGAGTATGACTATTTCACCTGTGAGTGAGGCATTTGTCTTCCTGTCCCTGGCTTACTTATTTCACTTAATGGAATGTCATCCAGGTTCACCCCTGACAAGATTTCCTTTTCAGGGTGGAGTAGTATTCCACTGGATATCTACCACACCTTTTTTTCTTCCTTCCATTCTTTTCCTTCCTTCCCTTTCTCTCCCCTCCTTTCATCTTTCCCTCCCTCCTCTCCCTCATTCCTTTTGTCTTTCTTTCTCTCTCTCTCTCTCTCTTTCTTTCTTTCCTTGTGCTGGGAATTGAATCCAGGGCCTCACTTGCACCCGCAGGCAAAAACTTTACCACTTTAACCTCAGTCCTGTACCGTATTTCTTTATCTATTTATCTATAGAAGGACATGCTGGTTGACTCCGCATGTTCGCTATGGTGAATAACGCTACACTGAACATTCAAGCTCTTTGGCATAATGATTTCATTTCCTTCGCGCATATATCCAGAAATGGGGTTGCTGGATCACATGGTAGTTCCACTTTTTGAGCCTGGACTATTTAAAAAATAAAACCAAAAATCCCCTTCGACCTAAAAAAGGGGTCTGCCGCCCTTTTTAAAGCCCATTCCATCCTTGTGGTCCCATGGTCCTGTCCTCACAGTCCTCGTGGCCCTTCCAAATTCATCTCAGCTTTTCATTAACACCTCAAACCTGGTCCTCAGTGAAGTGTCCTGATGTAGCCCCGCCCCAGTGGAAGCAGCTGCTCCATCACACCCTGAGGTAGTTGTGGAGAAGGTGACAGGCTCACTCTTGCTTTCACCCGAGCTCCCTGAGGGCAGGGTGTGCATGTGGAAAGTAATCCATCTGTCACAATCAGTCATGGACTATCTGCTGCTGTCCTCCTTTCTAGGGAATAGGAAATTACCAGGAGGCTTTTGTGTTCCTTAGAGGGCTTTAAGCACCTCAGCCTGAAAAGTGACCTCTAACCTTAGAACTTCTAAAGTTCTAGCAACATGCTACTCTGCTGCCCAAATTGTTCCCTCAAATTACTGGGTTATTATTGCAATTACTAAACAGTGCTTAAAAGTTTTGGGTTTTGAGCCCTGTGAAAAATAAACTCCACACTAAATCTTCTAGCATTACAAACTCGGAAATCTGCCAGCATTTTACTTGTCAAAGGGGAAGAAAAAAAATGGGTGGGCATAATTTTACATACTTTTTAAAAACTGCGATATTATATCTAGCATAATATTCGCCATTTTAACCAGTTTGAGTGCAGAGTGCAGTAGTATTAATTACATTCACAATTTTGTGCAACCATGAGCACTTTTTTCAAAATTTTTTCATCACCCCAAACAGAAACCCTGGACTCATTAAGCAATGTGGGTCATGATTTCTGAAATATTCTGTGAGGCTAATTAGGACACAAAATCTAGGTAAATGGATTATATCCTGTAGAAAACACAAGGGGGAAAAATTACAAGGAAATAAAATGATTACTGAGTGCATTATTGTGGTGGAATAACTTTTCTATATGTTTGGCAATTAACACTCCTATGTCACTATTTTAACATACCTGAAAGGTTTTTGTTAAGGTATTTAATTTGAAATCTCAAGCACATGAATATATTTCTCTGCACTGTGCTTAAATCCACAATATTAATTTCAGTTCACTATCACAAAATAGATCCCTTAAATTAAAAAAAAAAAAACTAGCAATTTAATAGTATTATGACCACTGATTCTTGAAGGAAATAAATTGGTAACTTGATCCCCATGGAAACACTGGTCATCTTCACCCCCTCCTCAAATGACTGAAGATCCTATTTCTAAACTCACTTTTAAACAAACTAAATAGCTAGAATACTTTTGCATCCTTGTAACCTTCTCCCTCTGTGGAGATTAGGTCTCTAACTATGAGTACAGATAACGTCCAGCAGTGGCTAACAACGCAGAGATAATCCCTTCTCTGAGAAGTCCCTTTTCAGTTTAACCTTCCACTGGGTTAACTGCTGACTTATCTTCCATTACGAGCCCCTTGCACATCAAAGCATTGTTTGGGAACAGAGCGAAACAGACTGGCAGGAAGGAGGCTCTTTAACCCTCAGGGCTAATTGCTGGAATTGAATGTTTCCTAATGGAGATAGCAGCTTTCAGTTTAATAAACAAACCATTTGTTTGAGAACTGAAACGGCAAGCCAGTTTCTGGGCTGTTGATGGATGTATATGCTTACACGGATTTATGCACACATACAAAGCAACCCAAACCTTTGTCCTCCAAACCTCTCAAATCCACCCCTGGCTGGCATCCACCTCTTTCCCTAGTCTCCTCCCTTGCTGCACATGGGACATGCGCAGCAGTCCCCTCCAGGCACCGGAATCATGGAACAGCTCTGGGTCAGAACAGGCCCTGAGCCCTTAACCGCTCTGGTCTCGTGAACACTCTCTTTTGCACACACTCACTGAGGGTCCCCCCCTTCTCCCCAGCTGACAGAGAAGGCGGCAGGCTTACCCCTCAGGAAGGATAAGACTAGCCCTAAAATGGTTAGATGAAAACCCTCTGGACTTCTGGTCTCCTTCACGGTCAGCTTTCCCAGACTGAAGTCACAAATTAAAATCATCTGGGGGTCAGAGCCACAACCATGCTGAGGTCCTGGATAGGTTCGACTGGGTCTCCACCTCAGGAAAATCTGGTAGACCCGTGGTTTCCACCTTCAAAAATACTAAATCAAGTTTGCCAACAAAGCCATCATTTATCAATGCAAAAGTATGCAGAGGAGACCACTTAAAACTTTCTAAAACAACTTAGGCTGTTATCATCTATCAAGGAATGACTACATATTTATATTGTGCAAAACAAGACGGGGAATTTGGATCTCACAGAACCTGGGGGAACAGAGAAAAGAATACTATCCTAGAGAGATGTAGACTGATACATTAGCCTGGACTGCTTTGCTTTATTGGATAGGTGCTTCTTACAGTATATTTCATTCTAAAAAGCTTTGGAATGAAAACCACATAAACTATTGTGCAAAATTAACTAGCTCAAGGACCTGCCAAGTCTAAAAGTGTGCTCGCCATAAAGCTAATTTTCTTCCTGGGTGTGCCGGATGATAAATATTCTGTCCACTCACATTTAAGCAGAGAGAGAGGCAGAGAGAGAAAAAAACAGAGAAAGGGAGAGAGACAGAGAAACAGAGAGAGACAGAGACCCCTCCCCTGTGGTAAGGAGCAGCAAACCCAGCAGTACTTCGGCATCTCATTAGCTCTGTGGGTTACCACCAATGAACAGCTGGATGTGATGAAAAGGTCAAGTATCAAGAACTTTAAACATATTAATTTGAAGCCACCAAATCGGCCTTATTGAAAATTAACTCCTAATTGTTTCCTTAATGACATATGCACAGTATGTGTGAACATGTGGATAAGTAATAGGTCCTTTTAACCACCTAATGTCAATGACAAAACCTGTCCAAAGCTTTACAGAAAGATTTAGCTTTCACCAGACGCATTGAAGTTAATTCAATTCCCAGGTAAGACCTACAAAACAACCCAATTTTAAGTAGCAATAATGCAAGTGTTTAGCGGCTATAATAGAACCGCTACTGTAGACTGCTGCTACAGGCACGCATTCCGTCAAATATTCATTCTGTGTGTGCTTTTCTGTTATAATTAGCCCAAGGTTTTGCTGCAAGCCAATTTCAAAAGAAGACAGAGCCAGGGTCAGTGGCATACATCTGCAATCCCAGGTACTTCAGCAGCTGGGCCAGAAGGATCACAAGTTGAAGGGCAACCTAGGTAACTTAGCGAGACCCTATCTCAAATTAAATTTTTTTAAAAAGGCTAGGTATTAAGCTCAGTAGTAGAGTGAGTGCCTCATATACTCACTAAGTTGCCAGATTGCTCAGGCTGTGCTCTAACTTGCTATCCTTCTGCCTGGGATGTATGTCTGGCACAGAATACTTGTATATTTACATGTATCATCGGTCCTCAATCTTCTGAAAACTAACCAAGAAAGGTATACAAAGCCCTGCGTGAATTTATAGACTAGAAGGGGTTCTAGCCTTGTTCCTGTTCTCACCTTTTCTTTTTCTTTTATAGAATGAGAATATTTTATTGGCTGATACGGTACATAATCTAAGCAATAATGTCACTAACATGAGCAAGTTTATCAATCTTTCAACTAAAATCTAATCCAAAGTTTGCATTCTAGCGACAGTACACTCTCGGGATGCAGGAAACACACCAGCTAGCATTTTGCATTTCTGCAGCACCACAGAGTCAACACTTTGAAAATTTCAACAGTAGCCCTATGAAAAACCGTCATCATCATATTTCACGGAGGTACACAAAGAAGCAGAATGTAAGGTCTGAAATATTCTAACAGGTGCACAAATCTCAAGTGAGCTCAGGTTTTAAGCACATTCCAACTATGCAGAAGCATCAGATTTGGAAATTGGTTTCATTCCACATCTGTGAGCTTTGGCAGCTCTCTATCTTGATTCTGCCTTCTTGGAATTCCTAAGCTGGGTCCATTTTGCTCATCCCAAATAATTTGGGTCTAAGGGGTTTCCACGCCACTGGAGCTGATAAACCAAGGGTTTATACCGGCTGTAAAAACCATCCTTCAGAGCTTGATAAGAAAATGCCTGCAAGGTGTTAGTGCTTATTTCTCAAGTCGCTGGGAACACAAGCAGATTAATCGTTAACTGTTTTTACCGTGAGTGTTTACTGAGAATGCAGAGATTCAAGAACTGCAATTAAAGTAGTTTCAAATAACAGACAATTTGTGCTATGGGAAAAATCTTAAGCATTACCCAGTGTGGCCCAGTTTCAATTTTAACCTCAATTTGTTTGGTGGTAAATATCTAAAACTGCCAAACAATCTGGGCAGATTCCTATTTGAGATTGGAAAGAAATCAAAATACGACACCTGGCCCTTTAAAAACATGCAAGACCCTAGGCTGTGTGTGGCCAAATGACAAACTTACGGGGAGCTTCCTGTGGCAGAATTCAACAGATTCCGCTACTTGGGGATGGAGACCCTGGAGTGATCCTAAAGGTGATGTGACTGGAACTCGAACTTGATCATAGTATAGGTGCAGTGTTTGCAGTGTCATCCCCACTGTGAAGGATTAAGAATAGGACTGGGCGGGACCTTGCTGCTTTCAGGAGTGGACTAACTCATTCATGGATTAGTGGCTTATAGAAGGAGTGGCTCTGCCATACAAGTGAGCTCTTTATCACACCGGCTGTGTCTCACCACGGGACACTTCCACATGCCATGACACAGCCAGAAGGGCCTGGGATTCCCACCCTCCAGAACTACGAGCCCAATCAGTGTCTGCTCTTTACAAACCACCTGCCCGTATTATCCAGCTATAGCAACAAAAAATAGATTAAAACTAGATCAGAAAGGAGAGGTGAGACAATGTATTCAAGCTCATGGGGCCAAAGAAGAAGTCTGAACAAAAAAGAAGGTGTAGGGGCTGGGGATTTAGCTCAGCGGCAAAAGCGCCTGCCTGGCAAGCGCAAGGTCCTGAGTTCACTTCCCGGTACTGGAGAAAAACCAAAAAAAAAAACAAAAAAAAAAAAAAAAAAAAAAAAAAAAAAAAAAAAAGGTGTGGCGGGGGGGGGGGGGGGGGGGGGTGGTTGCCAACACAGTAAATCATCTTTGTCTATTAAAAGAACCTCTAGAACAAAAGCCCATTTCATTTCAAAAGTCTTGATTTCAGTGCCTCTACTGATCATGTGGATCAAATCTCAAAAACAAAGTTGTTAGGGCAACTTATTATATGTGTCACATAGATTCCTAAGGGGACATTTTCCTTTGAGACAAAAATTCAACCAAAACTAGACAAAAAAAATCAGCTTGTTGGTTTAGTTGTCCCCCCACTAACCACACACACACACACACCGCCAGGAATAGAAATCCTGGTCACGGGTAGAAATCTAGCATCAGCTTCAGTTGCCCTAAGCGCTGGCAGTACGCACATTGCCCTGGGCTTCCAAGAGGTAGGGCCTCAAGCACTTTGAAATACAACTCCAGGGGCCCATAAGACAGTGAGGCCAGACCTGAAATAATTTATTTACTTCTGAGTGTGTGTCTGTGTGTAATAGTAAGGAGTGAACCCATGGCTTTGTGCATGCCAGCCAAGTACTCTGTCACGGAGCTACACCCTCCAGTCTCCCCTCTCCTTTTTAAAAATCTTTTCTCTTAATCTTTCTGAATCTAGCCCTGGTGACTACACACACAAAAAATATCTACGATGTCAGTAACACTGGATGTCAAATTTATTCCCTGTTTGATAGTTTATGTAGCAAGATTTAATACACAATAAAGAATCCCTATATATTTTTTAAACACATTACATCTTTCTAACAGCTCGGTAAATATTGTCTACATACAGAAGTCAGCCTGGTCCCTTTAAGCACGCTCCCGGGAATAGGGATACGCCTGCTTCCAGATGGTACTAGATAAGCAGCTGAGGCTGTAAACGCTGTCAGTCACAAACTGTACCGCAGGGGTAAAAAGTACATGGGATTCACACTGACCAAAAAGTGGTTTGGGACCTTGGTTCTGCACCTGCTCTCTGTAAGATCTCCGAACCTCAGTTTCCTTATCTGAAAATGGGACAAGAGATGGTCCTTGAGGTGTCTCTGTGCTACAAGAGATCACGTATGTAACACGCACAGTGTGGTGCCTCGCTGGCAGGAGCTTGTCTTGGAGGTTGAGGCGTTGGGGGTCATGGGAGTAATCTGAGAAAATACTCCAGACCCAGGTACTTACACTCCTGCCCTTTTAATTTTTCTTTTTTTTTTTTTTATTTTGAGACAGGCTCTCACTATGTGAAAAAGGCTGGCCTTAAACCTGGGATGCTTAAGCCTCTGTCTCCCCAAGTAGCTGGAATTACAAGTGCGCGCCACCATGCCCAGCCCAAGGCTCCTTGTGAACTGATCCAACAGGCTGCCTAGTAAGTGGCTCATATGTTATAGACAAAAGGAAAGGGAACAATGAAAAGGAAAATACTTCAAATATTGGATTCCCCAGATTAAGCCATGCTGAAAACCCTTGACGAACATTTTAAAAGCATGCCAGTGGCTGCCACGATTTCAGAGGCTGAAAACAGAATCTGGTGTGTGCCCCTCCAGGGATGCCAGGGGGGAATGATGGCAAGAGCTGCCCAGGATTTCAAGTTGGGAAGGGGCCATCTCTGGAGATGCACTGGTGAGTTCTTACTCTCAATCTGTCTTTCAACCAGATCCAGAAAGGGACAAAGAGAGGAGTTAGCTTACCTTGGAGACAACGGACTTGATTTCTGCACATCCACACTTGGCCATTAGGGACATTTAGGGGACGGAGCACACAGGACTGCAACTAGCACACCACAGCAAAACTCCCAGGGGCAGCTCAGCACCCACAGGTCTTATTTTTTAAGACTTCTGTGTTAGCAAGATCTGATCTTCAGTAAAACAGAAAACCCTGAAGAGGGGATGTTATAGATGGATCTTTGAACATCCTCTAAAGGCCCCTTAGTCCCCAGGGTGGTGGCGTTGTAGGTGTGGAACCTTAAGGAGTGCAGCTTAGTGGGAAGATTTTAGGTCACTAGGGGTTTGCTTTGAAGCAGCCCCCTCTTCGCTCTTTGCTCCCTGGCTTCTGATATATGCGGTTTTGCTTCACCATTCTCACAATAATAGGCACCCTCATCACAGGCTCAAAACAATGAGGCCAACTGACCATGGATGGAAATCTCCAAAACCATGAGCCAAGACAAACCTTTTCTCTTTGTAAGTTCCCAACTCAGGCATTTCCTTATAGTGAGGGAGAGCTGACTGACACTGTAGCTAATACCTGGTAGAAAGCCACAGTCACACAATGGACCTTAGGAGCATGATGGAGATTCATTAGCTCTCAGAAGCTTCAGTCCTACAATACCTTCTTCATGGTCTCTTTTCTCATTCTATCTGTTCTAGATTTCCAGGAAGATAGAACATCAATTTGATAGAACATTAATTTGACTCAAGATGCAACCTCATAGCCTGGTTTCTGGGGACATTCTCCAGGCACTCACCTTCCTAGGAGCCACCTTGGCCTCTCAGCAGCGGCCATAGTAAGTCCTCAGAGCAGTGGGGAGAATCCAAGCTTTGCTGGGTTGGGCAGGGCTTAGGCCAGCCTCGTGTGCCTTCATCATGTGTCCACAAGAACATCCCACGAGTTTCTTTAGTAATTGAGGAAGATTTCTACAAAAGTTCCTGGGCATAAATCCTGAAAACAGTCTGCCTTGTGCACAAATGCTCAGCTGGCAGGGGGCAGGGAATAATCTGAAGCTGCTGTACATCAGGCACTAGGTGTCATGGTTTTCTACTTTTCTTAGGCACAAACGACTTTCTATCTGGGATACAGTAGCTGAGTAACAAACTACCCACCCATTTCCAGTGGTCTTTGTTAGGCCCCCTTCCCACTCTGTGACAACAAAGGGCTGGGGTGGGTGGCTATTAGCTGAACCAAAACCTGACTGCCACCACCACCACCCTTTCCTTTTTTTTCTTTTCTTTCTGTTTTTCTTTTATGTGGCAGGGTCTCATTTTGTAGTCCAGGCTGGCCTTGAACTCGAGAACCTCCTGCTTTAGCCTCCCAACCTCTGGAATTACAGGTGTGCACTCCTATGCCTGGCTGGGAGCCCACTTTTTACCAAAAGCTTCTGCAGTGTTATGATGAGCTGCCTCAATGTCCCCTGGATGACTGGGAAGAGACTAGGTCCAGAGACAAAGACTGAAACAAGTAGACAAATAGCTTCCTTCTAGAAGGGCTGGGGGCTGCTGCACAGATCTTTGTCACTGTCTCAACCTTCCAGGACAGGAACAAAGCAACCTGTCTTTGGATTGTGGTAGAATTTCTAACCCTGGGTAAATCAATACTGATTTATAAAAGACCTAAGGCTGCTTGCTAGAAGGACTTTATTACCGGATTCTTAGTACCTATCTTGATAAAGAGCTTCTCTTTTATTTTATTTTATTATTTTGTTTTATTTTTATTTTTTGTCTTTTTGAGACAGGGTCTCACTATGCAGTTCAGGCTTGTCTTGAACTCACTTCGTAGCCCAGGGCGGTCTCAAACTCCTAACGATCCTCCTGTCTCAGCCTCCCAGGTGCTGGGATTACAGGTGTGCGCCACCATGCCCAGCTCCAGTTAAGAGCTTCTATTTTAAAAAGCAGGGTGCTGAGAGTACAGCTCAGTGATAGACACTTGCCTGGAATATGTGAGGCCCTAGGTTCACTTGTCACTAATATATATGTATATGCATATTATATACACATATGCATTATGTGTATGAATTAAATGAAGTGAAAACTGTTTTCCCAATTGGTTTTGCTCCTACTCACAAGAAACAGGGCTCAATTAAAAGCCCTCTCCATCAGGAAAGTGCAAAACTACTATGGGTCTTATCCATTGAGCCGGGGCAATTTCACAGCAAACTGGATTGTGATGGGTAGCTCTACAATGCGTATCTGTAGGAACATTTCTCATTTTTTCAGATTTTATTTTGTCAGAGCTCCTGAACTGATTCATGCAAACTAAATGAGATTTCATAATAGACTCTGCTACAATTCCAGCCCCTGGGGGAAAACCTATTTATTAAACGTCGCTGAGGTAATGTCGCCCAGCTGCTAGGAAAAGCCTGCATGCTTTCTGCACCCTGGAAGGGAGAGATGTGCTTTGAGCTCATCTTAGGGAACTTAGGCTGATCATTCGTAACCTCTTACACTTCCTTCAGAGAGAGACAGTCGTTCAGGATGCTCAGGGAAAAGCAAAATTTCATCTGTAGATGCCTAGAGACCTGAGTGTTTTTTCCTCACAGTAATTGCACTAGTTTAGAAGAAACGGTTTTTCCCCTTCTCCTAAGTGCCAGATGTCAGCAGGAGGAGGAAATCCCAGAACAAAGCATATGGCAGAGAAAAAGCAGAAGGCTGGTAAGAGCAGAAGGCCGCAGGGCAACTCTGGCTCCAATGTGGTTTCTATTACCATACACGTGGATTCAGCAGGAAAAAACAATCGCCTTCTCTTTCTAAAGCACTCCTCTCTTACGCATCCGAGATGCTTAGAGCTAGCTAGGAATTCTCAAGAATAAGGAAGGTTATTCATTACCATGGGGACAGAATTTGCTACTGGTTCTTGGTTGTGGTGCTGAGTAGGGTGATTTTTAAAGACTATCTTCGTCTTGCAAAAAGGAAGCTATAATTCTTAAATGTCAAAAGTAGGGGGAATTGAAAACAACAGTATAATTGGAAAACCTTATGGAAAAATATTTATTCCATACCCAAAGCTCAGGGGTGGGGGCGGGGTGGACACATTGGCTGCTTTTCTCTGTCTTTATTCAGGCATTTACAGTGTGTATCTAAGGCCTTGGAAAACACAGAGAGGTGCGGCAAGCAAGGGCAACTGTGGGGCAGAGCTGGTGAAGGTAGAAATGCTAAGGTCCCTAGGTCACATCAATATCTTTCCTTACACTAAGGTTGGGTTCTGCACCAGGATGGAAAGCAACCAACCTCAGGGTCCAATCTGAATCGCAATCTTCAAGTGAATAATCCCCCTGCCAGTTTGCAAAGAGCTTGGCTTGCGTGTCTGGAAACCAGGGCCATCCGTCTCGTTAATCATTCAGCCTGAGCAAGTCGACTCCCTGCTGTAGGCATCTGTGCAAACAAGCAGTGCTTGCCTCCAAACAGGTAAGAGCTTCTCTGGTATATACCTCATGTATCATAAAAATGCACCCTTTTAAAGTGCATACCATGCTGGTTTTTAGTATACTTAGCACTACTTGATTTTTGTTTTTTTTTTTTTTTTTTTTTTTGGTTTTTCTCCGGTACCGGGAACCGAACTCACGACCTTGCACTTGCCAGGCAGGCTCTTGGCCGCTGAGCTAAATCTCCAGCCCCTTGATTTTTGTTTAATGCATGAATGAACCCAAAGTTTAAAAGTAACGGCTTTAAGAGCCAGGTCATATTCCAAACACTCTGTAGTAATTAAACCATATAACCTCCCACTGCCTGCAAATCTATGAAATCGATACTAATATTATTCTATTTTGGAGAAAAGTCAACTGACATTTGGATATAGGCAGTCTGGCCACAGCCAGTATTGCTTTTTTTCCCTAAACTTGGATCTTAGCACTGAACTACATCCTCAAGGCTCTTCCTGTCTATTTTTATTTTTTAATTAGTTAATTAGTCATGGTACTGGGGATTGCAGCCAGTGCCTTTGCACTGAGCGACATCCCTAGCCTTTTATTTTTTTTTTATTCTTTTGTTTTGAGACAGGGTCGTCCTAAGTTACTAAACTGCCCCAGCTGGGTTTCAATTTACAGTCTTCCTGCCTCAGCCTCCCACAGTGCTGGGATTACAGGTACGCATCCCCCTGCCCTGCTAGAACTAGCGTTCTTCACCAGTTTGAAGATTCTGTGATTCTTCTAGTAAAAGAGACTGACACAGTGAAGTTCTTTATCTATTACATCATTCATGCCATAAATAAAGAACCAAACTATCAACAGCCTTCCTCTTCATGTTCATGATGAACTTGCCATTGAGCCAAAAAATGAGTCTTCTCAGGAAGTAGCAAGAAGATGCATGTGACTCATTTTTGGGTCCCCAGTGAGCAGTAGAATCTCAACAAATGAAGAGTACAAAGAGAATACTGCCTGGCGTGTCTCACACATGGGCCACCAGACACCTCCATCAAGGTCACTGCCAGCCACCAGGGAGAGCCGGGTGCCTGTGGTGTGGTTATTAAACAATAACAGAGCCAAATCACATCAGCAGAACCAGAAGCCTTTGGATCTGAGTCTGCCAGGAAGGCTGCAGTTTTCTTTCTGGGCATTAGAAATAAATAAGTCAGCATAAACCAGGGAGAAATACCTTAGCCTCCATGCACAGCAGGAGTAGCATGGACCTGCCCAGCTTTCTACACTCTGATTAGAAATCAGATGCACACACTACCTTCAGACATCCCAGGGGAACTAACCTGGGGGCTTGATTGAACAGGGCCACGCATTTAAGCAAGCAAGGGAGATTGGGCATGGTGGCACACGCCTATAATGCCAGCACTCAGGAGACTGAGACAGGAGGATCTCCACGAGCCTCAGGCCAACCTAGGCTACATACTGAGTTCAAAGCCAGCCTGAACTATATACAAGACTCTGTCTCAAAAAACAAAACAAAATTACCCAGACTGGGCTCAGACTCGTAGTCCTCCTGCCTCAGCCTCCCAAGGTTGCAGGAATTACAGCTTGCACCATGGTGAGTGGCACCTTGGGGATTTCTAGAAAAGGGCAACAGAGTTAAGGGTTGGGGGTTTGCATAGCTAATGGGTGAATAATCCTGGAAAAGCTATGGTCTGGTTGATCAGTATCTCAGGCCTGGTTCTGTGAGCTTCATGACAGCTTGATGGGGAGATGATGGCTCCTATGTGTGGTAACTGCTCCTGCTTAAGCGACCTCATCATGGGGTGGTCCGTGAGGCTGTTTCTCCGGGAACCCAGGGTGACCACAGGTTTAAGTCCATGATTGCTGCCTTATAGGCAAAGCTCCAGGGGGTCTGGAACCCGACATTAAAAAAGCTGGCAACTGGATGTCCCTGAACATCCTCAAAGTTACTCTTATCTTGGCATCCTTGTTCTTGAAAATGAATGAAATAGCTAAACTGAGGGCTAATATACCTTGCATTACTGGTTTTTAGATAGACAGCCTTTAAGTGACTAACATGCCCACATGCAGAACAAAGCAGAGATCTGACCCGAAGTTTAAAGTAATAAAGGAGACAGATATAAAACACAGGCAGAGATGCCAGGCTTTATACTGCTTTGTTTCCCATGGAGCATCTGCGGGCTCAGTCTCTAAGTCCAAATCACAGAAGTCTAAGAGGCGGCCTGTTCCAAAGCGATCCAGCGCTACAAGCTCAATAGTTCCGCTTTCTAAGACCCTCGACAGCCACCACTCTTTTACCGCTATGGCCAGATGTTGTGCACTGACCTGGAAAAAACATTTTAAAAGTCCAAGTGCCCCAAAATAGCACAAGATGGGGAGGAGGTGATGGAAGGTAAGAATTGCAGTCATACATTTTCATGTTTAAAAAAGGTCTTCTTCGCCCCTCTGCCATTAGCTTTGTGTTGCTCCTTGAGAACAAAAAGACAATTCTCATGCTTGACCGCAAGGCCAGATGTGATCAGCTTTCAGAACTCAGGGTCCTTAGGAAAGAAATCCCAGGGTTAAAAGGAAGCCTGGCAGAGGCCTGGGTGGCAAAAAGGAGGGATGGCCTAGTTCTCTTTCTAAAGCAAATCACTAGCCCAAACACAAGCCGCTCCAATTAAAAGCAGGACAACCCCTCCTCCCTAGGTCTCTCCCTGGAACTCCAGGCTAGCAAGATGGTACAAAGCAAGATCCTTTTGCAAACAAATTTTACCAACCCAGTACCCAAACATTGATAGGGAAAAACATAATGGCCAGCTGTGAGGATAAATATCAGGAGAAATCTTTGCCAGAAGAAGCCAAGCAGAATGTAAAACTGGACAGTAACTTTGGAACAGACCCCAAAGAGCTGAGAGGCAGTCTCCAACAAGATAACTTACACACCCATGTTCCTAGCAGCATTACTCACAGCAGCTGAAAGGTAGAAAGGTCCATATCCTTGATGGGCGGATGGATAAGCAACATGTGGCATATGCATGCAATGGGATACGTCTCAGCCATAAAAAGGAATAAATCTCATCACATGTTACAATACGGATGAGCCCTGGAAATGTTACCCTCACTGAATGAGCCCACACAGGAAAGGACAAATCATGTCTGATTCTGTTTGGTACGAGGAAAAAGTTCTGGAAATACATAGTGACGCTGGTTGCACATTGTCAGCATACTGAATGCTACTGAATTGTATATCGAAAAGTGGTTGAGATGGTAAATTTTATGTTATGTATGTTTTACCACAAATAAAAAGTTAGTCTCTGGAGGGTTGAGATCTTGTCTCAACCTTCTCCATACCTCTGTCATCGAATACCCTCCAGCTGATTGAGAGCAATTACATAAATACCTGTTCAAACTGACCGCCACCCAGGAAGACAGATCTTTCGCAAAAGAGAATCAAGAGACAGAGAAACGGGGAGGAAGGGAAGAGGATGTAAAAAGAATTAAGATGCATTATGTACACGTACCAACTCCCCGCAGTTAGGGTTATTCATTACCTTCGCACTGCAAACATGGGCTAATAAAAATTAAAACTGGGGGGAAAAATTGACCCCCACCGCCGGAGAGGGATTGTATAACGAATGCTTACATCAGATTATAGCTCACCCCCTGCCAATCACATCACACATGCCGCAGGATCAAACTACATCAAGATGATCCCATCTGCGGAAAGAAAAATCCATCCAGCTCTATTTCCCCACAAGGTTTCTATACAGTAACCCAGGAAGATCTCATTCTTCTGCTATGGGGGCTGAGGGTGGCATTATAACCTAGGTCATAGGTCCCAGATACATACCTGCTCGGCACAAGTTAGTTCTCCATGAGTCTTCAAAGGCATCACTATTTTACTAAGAATGCACAGATTTGAATGAGGTCTTTGAGATAATTATTCTAAAAGTCTTCAACTGAAGCATAACCATTACATTTATTTAACACACATTATTGAACACATTATAGGCTAGGAGCTTACCATTCACGGTGTAGTATTTGGTGAATTTTCTCGGATTCTAAATCTTTAAAAATCAATTCAATCTGGACAGCCTGTGCATTCCTAAATCTTTCTGAGGCCACAGAACCAAAATAATGATACTGTAACAAAGTATCACTTGAAAATCATTTCTTTAGTGTCTTCTACTATTTGCTACAGTAAACTCCAAAGCTCTTTTTGCAGAGTAGCAAGACAAAAACATACAAGGTAAAAGAAATCGCAGGTTTAAGGGTACCTAATGCAAGGACGAGCATGGCCTCTAGTTTTCTTTTGCACCAGTCACTAACTAGGATTTCATCTTCTCATGGATCCAGTCATCTTTAAACTACTCTTTCCTGGGACACACTCAGTGCAGGTGTCACGCAGGACATGGATGGAGACATCAACCACCATGGCGATGATAAGACTCAAAGAAGAAGCATCCAACAATGTGGCGGGTATGGCGGTAAGCAGAGTTCTCAGCTGGTTACCATGGAGGTTTGGGGCCAGAGGACCGGCTGGCTGTCCTGTGCATTGTGGAATACTCGCCAGCATCCTTGGCCTCTACTGACTGGTCGCCAGTAGCACCCACCCATCATGTTAATCGAAAATGTATCTCAACGTTGCCAAATGTCCCCTGGGGGACAAAAAATACTCTGTAATTGAGACCAGTGTGAAAGGCACATCAGGAGAGCAGCATGTGGGATGGGATTCTTAAGTAGAAAGGTAGAGCTAAGCAATACTTTTTGGAGAACCTGCCATCTGAACTGAGTCTTGTAAGATGAGTCTCAGTGAGCCACAGCAGAATTCTGGGCAGCGGAGAGAGTATGAATAATGACAAAGCTGGGTGGTAAAATGGCACTCTGAACTACAAACAGGCCGGTGCAAAAGACAAGGCAGCCACAGGATGGGATCAGGCAGGGGGGTTAAGGGAAGTAGCCAGGGAAGCAATCACTCTTCACATGACTAGACTAACCATGACCAGTCATGACCAGTCTGTTGGTTTGGTTTTATTTTTCTCCCGG